CAGCTCCGCACCCGCTGATCCCGGGGCCTCCAGGGCCAAGGGCGGCCCTCTGGGACGCAGGGGGCAGGGACGGCATGGCGACATGGACATGAGGCAGGAACCTGTCACTGCTCCCCGGTTAGTCAGGCCCCCACCCTCACAGCCTCATTCTGGTCAAAACGAAAATGCATAAAATGAAGTGTGTGGGTTTTGTGTTTGTTTTTACCGATGGCCAGATAAAAGTTTTCATCTCCAAAATTATGACAGATGAAAGGGAACAAATAAAATGGCATATGAGAAACTGTGTGTGGAATGACCGCTGTTAAGAAATTGTTGACACAATTCATTTAACGTTTCAGCTGTAAAAGCCTTTTTGTTTTTCTACTTTCCTCTCTGAAAGGGATTTTCATGATTTTTTAAAATACACGGGGGTGGAGAAGAAACATAACACTGAAAATACTGCACATCAGAAATGCACGGATCTCGTTACGGCTGACCCCAAAGCGACGACACGGAGCCTCTCACCGCAAAACACCCATCACTGACGCACCTTCAAGGTCTGGCCGGAGGCCTCTACAATGAGCATTGTAACTTCCACGTTTCTGGCCACACTCTTCCCTCCTTTCTCAAATTCTCCTCTCTCTATAGTGATGTATAAATCATTCCTCATTTCACCTGGCAGGAGAAGAAAATTTAAACCGTTTTATATATACCAGGAAGAGTGATAAAGTACTCTATGAAGGAAAACTTTCGTTCATAAAACACAGTGGCACACATACGAAAGTAAAATGTATTCCATTTATATAAAGGGATCCCTCACCCTCACTGCCAATACCCGAGAAAGGTAGAAGCCAGCCTCTGCCGGTTTGAATCAGAGATCCTGAAAATACACATTTAGCAGGTGAACACTGGGATTGAGTAGAAAGATGCTGTCGAGTTTCGCCATTTTTCAATATTTCCCTCATTTATGAGGTGTGATTATAAATGACGGCCTGGCAGAGCGACGCAGGGAAACCAGTATCGATACTGTATAGTCACAGCGTCTAGAGTAGAAATATCTAAATGGAATAATATGACAGGACTGCAAAGTGTACAGTTATGATTTAAATAGTTTCCAAAATTCCTGGCTAAAACAATCTCACTGCTGGAAGAATCCAGATTCGTGCCGTCTGAACACAGATGTAGACTAGTTCAGTCATACAGACACGCTTGCTTGGTATTTCTTGCCATCGAGCTATAAAACAAATGAAAAAAGGCCCTCGATTCAAACGGACGTATTCTATGTACACATTGTACCATCTCTCTTTTTCTCCATTTGTTATTTATAAAATTTGAATGCTTTTCAATCTCACCCCTTTCTTATTACTGCAAGAAAAAAAGAGAAATTTAATGCCGACTAGCAAACGTGTGCTCTGACCTCTCCCACAAAAATGAAGTCAGGGGTACGTGGTGAGGGGAAGGGAGGTGAAAAATAAGTAAACGAAATGCTTCTAGAAAATTCTGAAAGGTAAGTAAAAGTGACGGTGATGTTGGCAAGGTTGAATTTACTTCTACTGAACACAGATTTGAAACATCCGAAGCATAGAAAGCAACCCTCCTTTTCTCTAACACAAATCCTCCCCCTGAGAAAGTGAATGGCGGGAAGGAGCAGCAGCCACGGAGCACGCCCGCCACGGGAGGTCATAACACTTCCTGAGCCAAGTGTGCAGGGAAAGACCCGAGCGTCCAGAACTGCGGGGGACGCCAGGGCGCCCAGTTGCCTTCCGCAGAAAGGCCAGCTTTTACGCCGTCATCACTCGCGAATGCCTGAGGCCAGGAAACAGATGGGCCATAAAACGGGAACTGAGTAAGCCCTAAACTTAGGCGGGAACCTTTTCTGTTGTTGTCCTTTGGTTTTCATTAAATGTACTGGGGAACCGTGGTTAATCACATCACGTAAATTTCAGGCGTGCCAGTCTATAACACGACATCTGTATACTCAACCACGTGCTCACCCCCCGAAGCCTGGTCTCCTCTGCCACCGCGTACCGGACCCCTCGCCCCTCCTCCCCTCCCCCCACCCCCTGCCCTGTGGTAACCGCCCACTGTTGTCTGGGTCTATGAGTTTGTTTTCTGTTTGTTCATTTGTTGCTCTTTGTTTTCTATCTCACGTATGAGCGCTATCACATGGTTCTACTCCTTCTTCATCTGACTTACTTTACTTAGCGCAATACTGTCAAGATCCATCCAAGTGGCAATATTTCATCAAAAAAGATGAAATCTTAACTACGCTTTACAAAGAGCATATAAAAAAATACATCGGTGGAAACCATTGACACAGTGGTCTCTGCCTTAGGAATTTCTAGTACACAAATCAACCTGGGAAGGCAATGAACTTGGAATTCCAAAAGAAAAGCAACATATTTCGACACATTTAAAATTATATTTGTATGTTTGAACCATCTTCATTTATAAAAATTTTTCGAATGGCCCAGTAAATTTTACAAGTTTGTTAGATTTTTACAACTCAGTTCATTTTATTACTACATAAATTTAACACTACACACACAGACACACACACACACTCACTCACTCTTAACGCTACTTGCTTTTACAATTACATTATAGAATGAACAGTAAACTCACAGACTTTGCCCTCTGAATCAATCATTTTCAACTCAGGTCTGGCACACTAATGGAGGGCACAGGCGCTATTCCAACAGTACGAGTGGAAGGAAATTCTTGGCAATAGTTTTCTCACTAACCGCTTTGGCAGGTGAAAAAAAAAACAACATTCCAATCAAGGTGCTTTAGAGCCAAAGATGTGAGGAACGACAGCAAAATTCCTCTGCTCCTGGAGTGAGTAACACAGAATGAGGTGCTCTGCTTATAGACAGGCCATAAAACACACTGATTCATGGGAAATATGGCAGCCGGGTTTTAACCTCAGGAATTCTCATAACGAGTAACGAGCTCTTCCAGACCACAGGGGGGTGACCTGCTCTGCCAAAGGAAGAGTGAGCGTGTCTCCGGAGGGGAATTCCGCTTCCAGCCGCTGGAAGGACCCAGCAACTCTGAGTTTAGCAAAGGCGAGAGCAGAAGAAGGAGGTTTGAAAAGGCAAACTGCTTCCCCCCTCCGCAGGATCGGCCGGAAGGAGGCACGGGGGTCGGGGCAGTGGGGTACTGCCGGAGCCGGGAAGTCTTTCTCCACGTTTTCGTCCAGCAGAGACATCCTGAGCACCTCCTGTGCACCACGTATTATTCAAGGCCCGGGAGACACGGCAGTGAACAAAGCGAAAACCCCTTCCCTGCGGAGCTTGGATTCTAGCGGTGGCGGGTCCTGAAGTGAAATATACAGCATGGTGAACAATGCTAAGCACCGTGGGGAAAAGTAAGACACAGAAGGGGGCTAAGACGTGCTGAACGAGGGGTGCAGGGGGTGTTCACACGAGAAGACCTCGCTAAGAAGACCCGAGATCCGCGTGAGCTCTGGTACGTTGCGACAGAGGAGGAAGGTGAGAAACGCCCGCGGCTTCCCAAACCAACCCTGCAGCCTGCTCAGCTTGTAACTTCGCTGGACTCTTTTCTTCTGATTCAGAAAAGATTCTAAATTCAAATAAGCCTAAAAGATACAGAGTCAAAGGAAGGCAGGAATGAGGAGAGAGGAATTCGAGTCCCTCTGCGCTGCTCTCCACTCTGTGGGGTGTCAGCCCAGACGGGGTACGCAAACCTCCGGGCCGCAAGCTTCGTGTTTTAAGGTGGGCGGTGGGTACAGGTAGGGGCAGGGGCGGGAGACGTGGTCAGAGGGACACGGCTGTCTTGTTATGTTATGCCGTTTATGACTCACCAAAGAACGTCCGCGACATAGCGCATTCGTAAATTAAAACTCCGTACACGCGTGCCTTACTTTTCCGAGTGTAACTGTCACTATCCCCGTGACCCCCTTTATCTTTCACAAACCTTTTAGACTAAAATAAGATTCCGTGGAAAAGAGAACACGTGACAGGAAGAACGCCGCCTCTGAAAGAAATTCTACCTCTGTCTCCCCCAGGAATTGTGCAGCTTGCTAGGTTCCAACACGGCAAGGTGCCACCTCCTGCCAAAATATGCAGAAGGCTCAAGTAGAAATTAAATTAAAATCAATACGCTTGAGGTTGGCTCTGGAGAAAACTAACAAGCCCGAATGGTGTTAAGGAAGCTTCTCGGGTAATTAGGAGGGAAATCATTATGCGAGGATGAAATGGAGTCTCAGCGCCCATCTGGACAGTTAGTTGCCCGCCAGTGTTGATGGACGATGCCTCGCAACTCTCAAACTTCTGTCTCTGCAGATTCGTGGCACATGGCGCTTTCCTCTGCGCGGCAGGCCTGCTGGCTGGCTGGCAAGACTACGCATGTGAAGGCTTCTCAAAATATCACTGGATGAGAAAAAGGTAAGCCTCCCATCTCTCCCCTCTCCCCGCCAAAAGTCAAAAGACTTCAGGGAATGCAGTCAAATGGGGTCAGTTTAGGGCTTGACCTCAATAGGTAAGAGGTCTCCATCAGCAGTGAAAACCCTCATCCTTGATCTCGTCCCACGAATGCCTCGGATAAAGGCGCAGAGCGCATGTCCGCCACACCGAGGAGCCCGCCATACCCGGGCCAGGGCCTCATCTGCACTGTAGACTTGTTGACGTCTACGAAAGTGGAAAGCAAGTCCCTGCCCTTCCACTGCACACAGAGAACGCGTGTGAGAGGCCACGGGGCTCCTGGCGAACTCAGATGACGGCGGTGGCGATGACGGACGGCAGTCAGGCACTTTGGCAAGTGCTGCCAGCAGAACATCTCGTGAAATCCGCCCAACAACACTATTTTCATTTTACAGATGAGGACACTGGAGCGTAGAGATTAAGAAATGTATCAAATGTCTCATCATATCCCCCACTTAGCCATAAAAAGTGTAATCTGACAGGATGAGAATGGCCACCGAGCAAGCTAGTGAAATGCAGCCATCGTGGCCAGAAGACCAGCGCCTTGAGCGAAGGACCCACTGGTCCTGCTCTGTTCTGCACCAGGCACCCGGCCCTGAAGCACTGATCTCAGCTCTAAGGGCTGTTTACACAGGATGGCGACGGCAGATCTGGTATCACACAATGAACGAAAGGATCAGAACCCGTCAGAGGATGGATGAGGGGATGAGGTAACTGAATTTAAAAATGTTGGGGTTCCAAGCAGAAAACAGGTCAACCCAATGCACAGACGGTCGAGAGAGACGGGTCCGACATGAGCGAGATCATCTGGAGAGATGACGTGACGATGTCCTTGGTCACTAAACATATTCACGCCAGAAAACTACCACCAGGGACGTGAGGAAGAAATTCACGCGCCAGACGCCCAGCTGAGCTGGACGGCCCTTCACGTGTGCGGCAGGCAGAACGATGACCCGCCCGACCCCCACGAGATGTCCACATCCTAACCCTGGACACTGTCAACACGTCAGCTTGGGTGGCAAAAGGGCCTTTGCAGAGGTGACTAAGTTAGGGGTCCTGAAATGGAGAGGTTTTCTCAGATTATCAGGGTGAGTTCGCTGTCACCACAAAGGCCCCGACGAGGGGGAGGCAGAAGGCTCAGCTTCAGAGGAGGGGGTGTGGCGAGGGAAGCAGGCTGGGGTGACGCAGGGCCACGAGCCAGGAGCACGGGCCGGCTCCGGAAGCTGGACGAGGCAGGGAAATGGCTCCCCCCTCTGGGCCATCAGGAGAAAGGCAGCGCGGGCGACACCCTGATTTTAGCGCAAGGTTCCGACCTCCAGAACCGTAAAATGATACGTTTGTCCTAACCCACCCCATTTGTGGCGATTTGTTCCAGCAGCCACTGGACACTCATACAATATGCCATCCACGCCCAAGTTTCTTTCGCTCCGTGACACCTTCAAGGGGGACGAGGGACAGGTCTGAGATTCACAGGCGACTGGGAATCAAAGCGGGCCACAGACGGGAAATTCTGGACGGGATGAAAAGTTAACTTTGGATTTTTTACATGGAGTGCACTTCAGTAGAGCCCATCGATGTCTTTTCTGTTCCTGTCTGTGGTTTTCTGTCTCTCTTGTTATGTTTTGGGAGAGAACCATGAGAAGTTGGACGTTCTAGGGGTAGCTCTGAAACTGTTAGAACTATTACGCAAGCAAGGGCAATGACACAGCCGCCGCCGGACAGGCTTTGCAGACGGTGCCATGGAGCTGGGCGGGGGCGAGTTGTGGCTCCCTGCTGTCCATCACACTCTAGGACGAGGTGTGGGGCTCTCGTAGGGCCAGTGGGGCAAGTCCTACGCCCTTGGGCAGGGCGCCTACAAGCTTCATAATTTCGAGGGACCAGCCTCTCCGAGCCCAGTGGGACCCAACCTCAGCAAGACGCGGTAGGGCCTTAGGCTCCATCTCCCATCGCTGTGGCACTTACTGGTTGGAAGGCCACACTCCCCTCCCGTGGCAGGATCCGGGGGTTCAGGTCTCAGCTGAATGGGGCACCCACACGATGTGGAGGCCCAGTGACTTGGACCGGGGGGCGGTGAGCTTCGGCTAGATTTAGGATATATTTTTAAGGAAGATCAAACCATATCACACTGGCTCCCACATGCTTTTTCCAAAGGCAGGTTTATCTCAGGCAAGTCCATCTGTTGACATGCATGTGTCCATGAGTAAGTGGTAAAGAATTAAAATATTTATACTTAAAAGAATGAAATTGGGTATCTTCTCAAACACGAGGCAAAGATATCAGCAATGTTCCTCTTACCATATTCTTGTAAATCATTACCTAGTCTACTACAACCAAATACAAATTTGACTTATTTGAACCAGCAAAGACCACAGAAAAAGAAGGCTTACTCTGAAGGACACTTTTAAATTAAACGTAGATCTTGCGATCACCCTCAAAGCTCCTGCTACCGGCAGCCATTCCAAACCCCGGCTCTGTGGACCGTTTTCAATGTCAGCCTCCAGCTCCCACGTGTCAGCCCCTCCGTCGCCCGCCACCTCAGAGATCTAATTCCTTTCAGAGATCTCCCACTAAAAGCAAATGCACTGGAACGTATTAATTACGGGTTCCCTAACAAAGAGTGACAGCTTAACCAGTCTCCAGAGGAACGGGGTACAGGTGAGAAGCGTAAGTAGGTAGAGAGACCATGACGAAAGCACAGAAAATTCTGCCTGGAATCACAAGCTCAGAGTTAGGATGGACCTTCGGGGTGGGGGGCGGACACGGCCTGACCTCCCGTGACACTGCTGACACATTAGCCAGCTTTGCTCCAAACGTCTGGTGGATGGGAACAATCCTTTCTGATACTCAGCAACAGCCCGGGCCCTGCCTTGCACAGTCTGCTGAGACGTTTACAGCGGGGCCGTCCAGCACAGTGACCACTGCCACATGTGGCGGCGGAGCACTCGGAATGTGACTCGGCTGAAAACAGATGTGCTGTCAATGTACGCTACTCAGCAGCCTTCAAAGACCTAGGTTGAAATAGAGTGGAAAACGGCTCACTGAGAATGTTTTATGTGAGTTACATGTTGAAATTATGTTTTAGAAGTGTTGGGTTAAAATCTATTGTTAAAATTAATGTCACCTCTTCCGACTTTGTCCTGTCCTGAGGCTCGCATACGTCCCTGTCGGGGAGCCCTGCTCCAGTATTTGTGATGCCCTCTCTCTCCTGGGCTCAGAGACCAGACCGCGGAACTTTCTGTGGCGTTAGTTCCCTGGTTCATAGGTGGCAGTGAGGGAGCATCAGAGAAAGTGGCTTTCCTTCTTTGGAAACTGAAAACCCTAAGAAATAAAGTGCTGAGTGACCAATGAATGCTTAGCGACAGGGAGAGTTGGGGGGCTTCGTGACAGCACGAGAGCGCAGGTCGGGTCACCTCCTTACACCAGGAGAGGCCGAGGGGACGATCTGTTTCGCTGTTTTTCTCCTTCCAGGAGGGGTCTGGCACCGGTGACACTCTGCGAACCTCAAGAAGAGTTTTGTGTACGTTCCCGCCTGTGCCGGGCCCACAGGTGATTCATTCTGCAGAGGCAGTGACTGTGCTAAGGAAACTGGCCCCGCTGGCGTAAGCACACGCCTCCCCGTCCCGAGCCCCCGAGAGACATGAGCTCAGCCCGAAGGACGAGTCCAGAAAATGAGAAGAATAAACACGCCACGCTAGGAGGCCACCGGAGCAACGCCGGCATCGCAGATGCTGTCTACATACATCTTCTCACGGAAGAATTCGACTCACGTTTTCATTAGAGCCACCGGTGAGAATTAATCAACAAAATTCTGGGGGAAATAAAAGGAAAACAAAGCGACAACTGCATGTTTTGCCCATGGGAAAAAAGTCCCAGTGAGCTGTAAAGTTGCTTTCAGCTGTTTCAGTAAATACATACGTCTCGCCCTTCTCCATCTGATTTCGGAGGTTAAGAGGCCAAAGAAGAAAAAGGAGAAATGAACAAGAAGAAATGGCTTCTAGACCGTCTCGTGCAGTCCCGCATGGCAGACAGGAGCCTGGGGGGCGGGTCTCGGGACAGGATGAACACGAACCTTGCCATTAGCGTGGAGCGCGGAGGGACCGATGCGCATCCCCTTCCACGGGAAGTTCATTCCCATCCTCAATGCCACACAAAAGCTGCGAGGGCACGGCGCATCCCAGACGGCTCTGCGTGCTGCTTTACATGTTCCCATCTCCCTGTGACACGGCCCGGAGACCGCGCTGAGGGATTCCTGCAGCAGCTGGCTGCATTCTGCTCTCAAATGTGCTTTTATATTAGATTTGCCCGTCAATTTGCTTCCCAGCGGGATGACATTTTTTTCTTTTTCTTTGGTTAGAGGAAATACCAGTTATTTATAGCAACTGAAGGAAATAATGAACAGTTGCAAGAGCCACCGAATAATGTGCCACCAAGTAAACAGTTCCACAAAGAGTCATTTCTGACATCAGTAGCACGAGACGCTCAGGCAGACTGGGTCTGTAAGCGAAGTCAGGCCAGCTCAGAGAACTTTCCAGGCCGTTCTCGTAGCCTGCTCTGCGTAAATGAGTCCCACCAGGAGATGACAGAGCCTGCGGGACCAGCGCTGGTCAGCTCCCACGTCACATGACAGGACCTGGGCGGGCAGCGCTGGTCAGCGCCCACGTCACATGACAGGACCTGGGCGGGCAGCGCTGGTCAGCTCCCACGTCACGTCCAGTCTTCTCCCCAGCATCCTACCTTTGCGTCTCACAGCTGGGCCACCGACCTGGTCAGGTGCGACTCCCCCCGTTTGCTTCTACGCCTGGGTTCAAACAGTGACTTAGAGGGTCTTTTTTCTAAAAATACTGACAACAGTTTGAGGCCACTGTTCTTGGTCTTTCTACTTTTTTCTCAGTTGCGGAGGGCGGAGTGTGGGATCCTGAGAACATACTGCGACTTGGCGTCTGCTATAAGAGTACAACGTCCTTTTTTTACCCCTCGTTTTTACAAAATTTAAGTATAGTTGGTATGCGATATGACGTTATATTAGTTTCAGGTGTACGATACGGTGATTCAACATTTTTATAAGCTTACAACACGATCACCCCACTGATACAAATGTGAATCTCCTCAACCCCTACCTTCTCCACTTAGAAACGCACACTATTTTTTGGAGTGTTATTTGGTTGCTAATACAGATCTGAATCATATACACAAATAGAACCAGAAGAGGTGCGGAAATATATCTCACACGTGCACACACACACACACACACACACACACGTACCTCGGCTGGAAAAGTCTTCCAAGAAAGGCTATTACTCAATCACTGTTTCCATCAATAAGGATTTCCTTTAAGTGATTTCACTAACATTTTCCACCAAAGGGTATAAACTATTTATTTTCTGGACACGACCTCAGTTTTCCTTCTGACCACGGTCACAGTGACATGCAGCCATGCCCCCGACAAGTTACCCAACCTAATATCATCAAAACATAAACATATTAAAAAAAAAACCCTTTTGCTTATCATCGCATTCAGCAGGCCCTCGAATAACCTCGTGTCATTCGCATGCTGGTGACACGCCGTGGAAACTGGCCTCTTGTTCACATCATTCAGCCTGTGGAAAAACTCTTTTCATTGTGCACCGCTCTGCTCGAAGCCACAGGAGCCATCGACGGCGCTGAGTGAGGACTTAGGGAACCTCACTTCGCTCTCCAGCACGGCCCATTCGAACTCTTCAAATTTTGAAACCATTTTTCAAACGTCAAAAACAGACGAAAGACCTGTATTTCATCACGTGGTTCACCCCGAGTCACTTACCCGGCATGATGATATTAGAGAAACCCAACTTCCTCGTTATGGAGACGCCGTGAGAAAACACTGACGAGTACTCTCTTCTGATCTGTTCGATGTCTCCATGTAGCAGCTGAAGCGACACCGCCAAGCCTGAAACAAGTCGGAGACACCGCGTTACGGGAGAGGCCGGGAGGGTGGGACAGAAACCCCCCGCCCACGGCATCTCTGCGCACCGAGGCAACGGGAAGAGTCTCCAGGTGACTTTTCCTACCTGGATCCCAGAGCTTTCCCATTTTCCCGTGGTGACTGGGAAACAACTTAAGCAGACACTAAGAGGAGGACGTGTGGCTTCTCGGCCCGTCCTGTCCTCGCGCCCCAGCTGGGAACACCCTGCGCCCACAGCGTGCAAGGCAGCAGGCCCCGCTCACAACCCACAGCACCGCGACGCTAAGGACAAACGTGGCTGGTAAGAACGGCAGCGAGCATGCGAGACGAGAAAGAAATGCGCAATGCATGAGCCCAGACGAGAAAGAAATGCGCAATGCATGAGCC